AAAAAAAAAAAAAAACAAAACAAAACCATATGTATATATGGATCAGAAGTTAAAGTTAAAGAAGTTAAGGAAAATTTTTTTCTTAATTTTTCTCTTAGGTGAATGTTTGAAACTTTTAGCCCCATTATTGGTGGGGCATCCCAAGACCACAGAAAGGAAGAGGAGACCCCACCCTTAGGAATAAGCTGAATAGGCAGGAGATGAAACAGGCTGTTGATTGACAGTACTTATCTGGAGTCCATTTGACCCGTGAGAGATAGATTCAAGTAGATTCTTTGAAACTTAAAAGAATGTTTTAAGTTACAAAATGAGATAAATTTTAGACATGTAAACATACCACTGTGTAATCTGTACTGAACTTCACATTGTAGAAAAGGAAGCAGACTCCTGCCTTTGAGTCTTAGTAAAAGCTTGGGGACCCTGAAATGATTTGGAGGTAAAAGCACAAACTTTCTTTCCTCTCTCCAGAAGACTGGGTGTATATAGACTGGACATGTGTTTTTAGCTCAGTGAGCACTTCAAAGGAAATTCATAACCTTGAGCTTGTGACTATGATAATAGCAATCACTGTTTGTCATGGGAAGATAAATAATTCATTGGAACAACATTGATTAGCGTTAAAACTCTTAACATTTTACGTCTTAATATAACAATAGCATAGAGAGGGAAGAAATCTGAAACAATTTTTCATTTTTACGTACACCTTAAATCACTTCTTTACACTTTTATAAATTGCATTTGAAACACTTTTTTGACCGTTATAATTCACATTCACAGATCTCAAAGCACACTTTTAAGATCATTGCAACTTAATCTTTCATATCCTTACAACTTATATAAACATTAGAGTTTTTTCTATCCAATTATTCACCACAAGGCACAGGTAACTGTGAGCAGTCCTTGTAAAATAACTATATTCACATAAAGGAATAGTAAAAAGTTACATTGAAATCAGTTGTGGGAGTTTATCTTTTTTTTAGAATCTGGTAACAATCTGATGAGTGTCTAGACCTAGTAGCAACTCTAGGAAAGTGCCCCCTGATTTTTACACATGAAGAGAACTGAGCAATGCCTGAAGCCTGTGTTGTTGCTTGCTGTTAAACTGACAAAGCTTTCCCTAGTAAACACCATCAGAGATCTGCTAAGATGGAATTTCACCTGAATAAGCAGGAAGTACAGACCAAGCAGCTTCCAAATCTACTAAAAATGACAGACTTATTATCTGTTACCTAGACAATCACTGAAGATTCCATGGTGGTAGTCTTGATTTCATTGGGGGCAGAGGATCCAGGGCAGCATCAGTCTTCCCTGCCCGGTCCAGAAGGTCCAAAGACTGTCCAGTGGAGCAGAACCCTGGGAGATCAGTCTACTTTGTCTAAGCAAAGCAAGGCAATCAACTCCCCAGTGTCCTGCTTGTCCACAGTTTGGACAGGGTCCTGGTGACACACAAGATGAGGGCAGATTTTCATCCAGTGGCTGGCTTTGTCACATTTAAATTAAGCTCAAAGTGGAGTTCTTCTCTACCTGTTCGTTGTCTGTGAAGACCTAGGAGTCACTTCTAGTAGCTGGGGGTCTCTGTCTATCAGAGTAAGCTTTGTCCATTAAACATTTTAAATGCCATATTCAGCAGATCTCTTAAAAATTTTGAGGACTGTTATCTACTAAGGATATCTATACCAAAGAAACTTTCCTTGTTTCTAGTAACTTGTTTTAGGCTCAACTTTGGAAACATATACAGGAGGCTAAATAAACCTTGTTCTTAACTTGCATGTGTTGTCTTCAATAGTTTACAATAAGTCAGTAACTTTCATAAGATTAAGATTTTGTAACATTATCTCTGTTCTATTTGAGCCTTAGTAATTTGAGGTGAAGATCCTTTATAATCTAAATAAACCATAAATGCCTTAAACTTTAGTCCATAAGAGAATGGTATCTTTTATAGTTTACCATTATAGAAAACACAGATTTATATGACTCAGTTTCTCCAAATAGCTAAAGCTTAACAAGGTGGGCAAGGACTAAACTAGACAAATATCACTGTGAAGCTGAGTAGGCCTTAGAAATATATAACTTATGACTCCGTATTCCTTATTTATCAATATAACTGGGTGGAGAGATGGCTCATAAGTGACGAGAACCAGCTGCTCTTCCAGAAGATCCAAGTTAAATATCCAGTAACTACACCACAGCTCACAGTGGTCTATAAGTAGAGTTCCAGGCATTGGATACAATCATATATGTATATATATATATATATATATATATATATATATATATATATGAATGTATATAATGCTCACATGCTCATAACATAAAATTCTAGAATAAAATGCATTCTTTATTCATCTAACATACATTGTGCTTATCTACATTTTATAGCACCTGGGTGCTGAACACTTAGCAAGGACATAGGATAGATATATGTCTTATATCAGCTTTTGCTAATCCAAGTAGATCTTTACAACCTTAAAATTTTATCATCACATACAGTATGTACTAAATCAGAGTTGAATCACATATGCAGTATGTTGTAGCAAATATAACCTTAAATTTTTATCTTCATTCAAAATTTTATGCCAATCAGAAATACTTGATACTTCTTGATACTTCTTTAGTCTACAAAGAGATACAATGATATACAGAAAACTCATTAGGACAAAGAGGCTTTATGGTTATTGTTTTGTGACGTGTGGTCAAGTGATGATATTAGTGAACTCACATGGCATGTACTCTTTAACCTAAGTAAAGATGGCTGTCAGTCCTACGGCAACTTCTATTTTGATGAGGTCATCAACCAAGATGGAGCAGAGCCACATAGTTGCTATTTTAAAACATCTGTTTTCATGGTATGTTTTTTTAAAAATCAAAATCCATGTCATTCAATTTTCTGAGTGAACATGAAGGGCCATATGTTGGGGTGAAAACCCACTGGCTCAATGAGGCAGCGAAAAGACCTTTCTACTCTACCACAGACTCAGAAGGGAAAAGGTCCTTTTTCTCCACACTGTCTGCCATTCCTTCCAACTCAATCTCCCTCCTTTCTACTTCCTGTGTTTTCCTATGTTCACTCCTGTTAACTGGTTGCATGCTCTGCCTCTTGAGCTATGGTTGAATTTAATTAATATCATTTACAGAAAGTTCTTGGAAAAAATGATGTGTGTAAGGTCTGAACCACACCACAACAACCTGTTTACAATTAACAGAAAGCTCTTGGCTTAAAGGTATCTGTAAGGGCTGTTGAACTCCGCAGCAGAAACAGGATTTTCCTGTTCCAAGTTCAGAATTTTGAGCTACACAATGTGATCAAATATTCTGTCACATTTTCCCCCTTTTGTCTGAAGAATATCTATTTCTCTAAAATCAATAAACGATATACTACTATCTGCTAAGAATTACATGCTCAGTGTCCAGTCCATTTGTATTTGGCAACCTTGGAGAACGTATTCCACTATCTATCTAATCTTGATGTGTCCAACGGTGTACACTCAAATCACTTTCTATCATAACTTATATTTTTCAATCTAAAAATCTCTTTTTTGAAACTTTAAACATTTTCTTTAATCCTAAACAACTTAGTCTGAACTTTGAGAGTACAAAAAATCTAGTCTTGAACGCCATCAGAGAACTGAGAGGAATGAATGTTATCCACATAGACAGGATGAACAGAACAAACAGCTTCCAATTCTATAGAAAAGACAAAGACTGTTGGCTGCCTGGACAGTCACCCAGGGTTTCTCTGGAAGGTTGGGTCATCCATATCTTCAGGCTACTGACCCAGAACATCTGACAGATTGCTCTGTGAAGCAGGAATCATGAGGGACTTCTTCTCTACCTAATCCTGGCAGAGATCATCATTTGACTTCATGTGCTTTCTTTTGTCCAGTTGGGACAGTATTATATGAGCAGTTGAAGCAAGGCAGTTTGTTGTTCAGTGTGCACTTGCCACATTTGAAGCAAGTTCCATAAGGAATTCTTCAATGCTCATCACATTCCTTGAAGGAGTATGGGTTGCTTCCAGGATCTGACACATCTCCTTGTAAAAAAAAAAAAAAATCTTAAATTAATAAAACATCGTTAAATGACACATTCTGTAGATCTCTGTGGGTTTTGAAGACTAGTACTTAACAAAACCAAAGAAACAAATGTTTGATTAACTGACTATTAACTTGCATTTACAATTTTTTCTTAAACAGTTTGTAATAGGAGCTTTCAAAAGGACTAGTACTTCTCATTGCAGTTTTAAGAATTACATAGGTATCTTAATACCATGGAGTTGATACATAGTTGTAACCAAAATATAACCTTACTTTTGTATCAAGATACAAGGATCCATAGAATGTAACCAACTGCAACCTTAATTCCCATCAATATACAAAGAAATATACTAATGTAATCAAATAAACATCAATTGTGTATCAATATATAAGAAGGTATACTAATGTAACCAACTGTAACCTTAATTTTCTGTCAATATACAAATGCCTATACCCATGTAAGCAAATATAACCTTAATTTTCTGTCTATACATAGTAGTTTATCCCAATGTAATCAAGTAAACCTCAATTTTGTATCAACATACAAAGAGCTATACCAATGTAAACAAATATAACTTTAATCTGTATCAATATACAAAGATCTATACCAATGTAATTGAATACAACCTCAATTTTGTTTCAATATACAAAGATCTAAGCCAATGTAAGTAATATAATTTTGTAACAATATACAATAATTTTGCATCAATATACAAAGAAAAGACTGAATAATTTACCTGTTTCCTATTATTTCTATATCTTTCCTATATCCTCACTTTTGTCTACTTAAAAAAGACAGATTTTAAGTGTAACACACTAAAACTATTTTTAAAAATGAGGCTATTTCTGCCAAGCTTTCCTCAATGTCAAGTTTGGTTGTATTTGTCAGCCTTAGGATTCAGTATTTTTGAGTTCAGAGTTCTATAAAATGTTTGTGTCAGTTTTATATGAACTCAGGAATTTGAATCTCCTGAGCAGTTTGTAGTCTGGTTCTAGGTTTACCAACAAGGCTGATCTGCTCTGAGGAGCCAGAGCTGAGCAGAAGAGTGACATCAGCAGAGGAACAGGGATGGTCCCTTGGGTGTGGTCTTCATGAGCATTAGGATCCATCTTGCTTCAAGGTGAGGTGACTGCTGAATGGATGGGGACATAGATGACAGAAACTACGAAATGATGTGTCTTAGACATTGTGGTATTGCTATGCAGAGCAACCATGACTGAGGCAGTTTTTAAAGAGAAAGCCTTTAATCTGGGCGTGCTTATGATTTCGGTGGCTTAGTACATTCTCATCATGGTGGGGAGCATGGCAGCAAGCAGGCAGGCAGACATGGGGCTGGAGCAGCAGCTAAGATGTCATCCTGACCTATAGGCAGCAGACAAACCAAGACTGAGCTTGGCATTGGATTTTAAAACCTCAAAGCCAGCTCCCAGTGACTCTTCCTGCTAGAAGGTCATTCCCCCTCATTCTACTAATCTTTCAAAGTGCCCCCTCCCTGGTGACTAAGTCTTCAAATATATGAGCCCATGTGGCATTCTTATGCAAAGCATCACAGAATGTTCAAGACTTAAGCACAGCATCTGCCACCATCAGGGCAGACTAAAGTGTAAGGGTGTGCAGGGGACCCCATGTCTCTATCCTTTGGGACTCCCCATCTTGTGGTACACAGAAGGAGGTGTTCTTCTTACTCAGTGACCTCAGTTCATCCAGGGAAGGCAATGATGACAGCGGGTGACAGAACTCCTGTGACAAATCCTGAGCCATTTTCCAGCCTTCTCAGTGGCAGGAATGGACATCGGGGTGCCCTGGAAGGAGAAGATGAGACCCTAAGGTATCCTGTTCCCTTGATTCATGGGTCCTTGGTACAGCAAGCAAATATTTATCCATAATATCTTTGTCCTGTAAAACTTGTGCACACACAAAGCTCCTGTAGAATAAGCTGGGTGAGCTGTGAGTGACAGCTTAGGTGCCATTCCTCTTCTTCCCAACCACTTCTCACATGGTGCTCCTCTGTGTCTGCATGTTCCCAGGCAGAGCCCTAGGTGTCCTAGGAGTGTGGGGATGCAGCCTTTCCTGAAGGAGTGCTCACCAGCTCCTCTGTCTCACAGCATCAGGGACTGCAGGAAACAAGCTTTGAACCCCTAAGATTCTGGATCCCCCTATGGGGTTCTGGAGTCAGCAGCACACCTCTATGCTCAGCTAGTTTGTGGCATTTACACACATATAAAACATGGCCCTCTAATCTCCCTGTCCTGCCTCTCCTGCTGCCCTCCCCAAGTGCTTCCCTTGCTTTTCCAGTCTAACATATTTAAATCTTGAGACCACTTATCAACAAACACGTGTAGCCACAAATTCCTTCATTACAGTAGTCCCCTTTTCTGTGGGGGAAAAGATTCCTAGTCTGAGCCTGTGTCTGAACCCTGTACAGAGGTAAACCCTGTCTGCACTCTATGTGTTACTGTGTACGCACTCCTATGAAAAGGTTGCTACATCAACTGCAGTAAGAGATGATTAACTGTTGCATGCAGAATGCTGACAACAGGGTACTGTAATAGATGTGATTTATTTCCTCCGCCTCCCCACTGCCCTGCGTTCACCCCCATGTTGGTGGAAGATGAGGGATGAACAGAGCTAAGAGAAAGAACGACCAAGGAATTAGGACAGTGAATCTGTGCATCTGACATCTGAGTCTGCTCTGAGCACCTCAGGCTTGTGTTTTGTGAACAGTGTGGACCATGGACAGAGGAGGCAAAGGATTCACACCAGGTGCGACAGGATCTTCATCCCATGGAAAGAAAGATAAATGAAGTAAAAACATGTGTGTCACTTATTTCTACCATGGTTTCCTTGTTACAATCAGATCATACCTCATCCATGTCAGTAAAAGTGTGGAAGGCAAAACCCCATGATAAGAGTTACAGGGCAGCACAGTTTGTCTCTGCCCTGGGCCATCTATTTGGTCCCTGGACCAGCTTTTAAAATAAACATAAATCTAAAGTAGACTCATTCTATCAACCCTGGAGTCTTCTCTAAAGTCAGCATCAGGATCCTCGGAGCCAGGGAAGGACAGGGGCCATGGGCACAGCACAGGTCCAAGAGGACCAGATCTTTCATGAGAGCCTGTGGATCCCTTCTCTGTGTGGATCCTGCAATCCAGGGTTAACTGGGGAAATATGGGAAAAATGGGGAGAACTCAATAGAGGAGCATAGAAGGAGGCAGGAACTCAGGAGAGCTTAGTTCATCTGTGTAGGCAAAGTGTCCTGAGACAAGAACCCTTGTTGTGTCTGGTGGGGACAAGAATGGTAACAACACCTCCTACTGCTGTCACACTTGGACATCTATGAGGAAAACCATACAGGAAGCACTTTCAGGAACAAGAATAGGCCCACTCCTCTATACAAACTAAAAACACAAGAAATAAACATAGAAAACAAAGTAAAGAGCCACAGTTAAGACAGCAGCCTGGGCTGCTCATAATCTTGTGGACAGGACAAGGCTCTGGCCATTCAGTCTCCCTGTGATCATAGACTCTCAGCCTGTGCTTCACAGTGATGAAGAGAACAGAGTCCGGAGGAGACAGAGCTGAGTGTGACCTTGTCTTAGATAACAAGGATCTCATCTGGGCACATCCTTATTTACATTCAGTTCCCACAGCCTTATCCAGTCTCACCAGATACCCACAACATAGTGACACAATTCTGGAAGCTTCTCCATCTGCCATTTATTTCCTCCACAAACTCTAAGTATTTCCAATCCCTTATTTACCTGTCAATCAACCCTCAGGTCAACATGTAAACAATCAAGTTCACATTCAGATGCTTATTCTCAATGTGCAAGTGAGGAGCTGCAGCTCAGGGCAGCATGAAGCTGACAGGATGCAGATGCACCCTAGACCAGGAAGGTTGGCTGTGGAAGGGAACACAGGCAGTACAGAGACAAGGACCTTGTGTCCAAGGGTAGACTGAGCTCTATTTTTCTTCACATTGAGCCCACAGGCTCACAGGGATCAGCAGACACTGTTGTCTAAATAAATCTGAGGGCTCTGGACATCACAGGAGAAACTGAACACATCTTCTGTTACTCAGTCCACTCCAGGCTGCTGTCTTCATGCTAGAGAACAAGAGTCATGAACCATCACTGTGAAGAAAACATTCCAACAACCCACCACTCACAGGGGATTCTGAAAGTCCCTGAAACCCAATCATGTCCATATTGCCCCTTCCTAGTCAGGACCCAGAGTGTCACCTTTAAAATCTGGGAGAGATATATCAGAGCTCTGGAAGCTGTTACTGCCTAGGATAAAACAAAAGAAACATATATGGTTATGTATATGAATATGTACATGTACATGTATTCATATCATGGTACAACTGAAGCCCCCAGAGGATTTCTCTAGAGGAGCTATTATGGATTGCCAGAGCTCCCAACATCCCTAGCTTCACTGCAATGACCTCGAAATAATCCTGCCACCCACATTAATGTGGAGCTGAAGCATAGTTCCCTTCTTTTTCACTCGTGAGAAGAAAAGCTGTGAGAGTTCAAGGAAGTTCTTGACACTAGAAAGTTTCCAGAACTGACAGAAGATCCCATTGGAGACAGTAGCAATGCTGGGTGTGGATGTGTTTCCCATTAATGAGCAGAGCACACTTCTAAAGGAAACTGAGAGAAAACTCAGACCCTGGCCTTTCCTACCTGTATTTCTCTTCCTCTTCATCACAAAAGCCACCACAGCTCCAGTTATGGCCACAGTTCCAAGTACAGCCAGAACAGCAATGATCACCTTGTTAGAGTCAGTGGATGGAGGAGGCTCTGGGAAGGACAGGTACAGGAAATGAAGGTGAGGATCATGACCCCAGCTCTCAGCCCTGACCAGCTCAGGGTCTGAAGAAGGCTCCAGCTCTGCACCCACAACCTCCTTACCCCATCTCAGGGTGAGGGGCTCAGACAGCCCCTCATGTTGCACATGGCATGTGTAATTCTGCTCCTTCCCCAGAGGCACCACCACAGATGCCCACTTCTGGAAGTTTCCATCCCCTGAAGGCCTGGTCTCCACAAACTCCATGTCCTGGGTCAGGTCCTCCCCATTCAACTGCCAGGTCAGAGTGATGTCAGCAGGGTAGAATCCCAGGGCCCAGCACCTCAAGGTGACATCGCCTTCTTCTCTTTGATGATGGGCTACATGTGCTTTTGGTGGTTCTATTTGGAAGATTGAAGAAATTCTACAATTAACAAGACAAACAAATCTACACATGACTCAGTTAAATCAATAATGACACTGAACTATATGTCTGTTTGAATACTTCAACTGTCATCACACTAGTGACCTGCAGGTAGAGCTGGTCCCCTCAGCACAGAACTGCACATTTTCCTCGGGGACTCAGAAGCAAAGAGGGAATCCTCATGAGCCAGTGAGTCAACATGGTCTTCCTTATGTGATGTTTCATAGCACAAGACAGGTTGTCAAAGGATGGAAGATAGAATGAAAAATAAGTAATTTAATAAGTGTTTGAGTTCATATCTAAATTAGAAGTTAGAGCTATATACTACTGAAAGGATGCCAACAGGATATTCAACCACTGTGGTCATCTTGCTGACCAGCATTAACCATCAGTTCAAGGGAACAGCCATCACAAAGTGTGTAGCAGAAATGTGGTGAACCTGACAATCAGGCCGAGAAAATGACTCCCAGCCCCTGCCTCTGTGGTGTCAAGGTACAAGTCTATTACACAGGATTTCAGGAGTGTGCTTTGGACAGAAGTGAACCTCTCACTGGACCACAGTGGACTCACAGCATGTCTGGATCTTCCCTCTCACTCCATCTCTAGATTGCAGAAGACCTTGTCTCTCAGAAAGTCAAATTCCTGATTCACTTGGGGGAGCATTGTAATTTGTAGGGGCAGCGGAAGAACAGGAGGCTTCTGGATCTTTAGTTCTGACAGGAAACTGTCTAAGTTCACAAGAATCTCTCCTTTAATGAGAATCCTGAATTAACTTGTCTAATTATCTAGGTTAGCAGTCTCCCCTGGCAACTGTGGAAAATGATAAAAAATGATAATACAAGGGCATGCAGAAACAGGATCATTCCAGTACAGACAAAAACGGAACAGAAGCAAAATAATGCCTTCAAAAAGAAAAAAGAAGGTAAGAAATAAGAAAAAAGAGAGAGAGAGAGAGAGAGAGAAGAAAAAGAAATTCCACAATTTATATTCCTCAAGGGTACCCCCATAAAAGCTCCTGTGACCATTCACCACTGTAGGAATAGATAGAATTGGGTTGTTGAAGGGATGCAAACCCCACAGACAGAGAGGGATCTGCGAGAATGTATTCTTTGGAAAGTTCTAGAAACTGTGGGAACCAGTCTAGTGTAGGGGAGTCCATGTTTCCTAACAGATAAAAAAGACTTCTGGTCCCGAGGTGTAAGGACTGACAAACTCAGCATGACAAGGGTCAATGTGTACAGACAGTGGTGTGGGCAGATAACCTGGCCCTGGAGAGGCCATGGCTGACAGCAGGGAGGACTTGCTGTTAAGTCAGGAAATTGTCTCCTTCCCTCCTGAGACAGACTGGGAACTGTCTAGGGAGAAGGCTGAGCTCTGGGAGAGTCAGTGAAGTCACTGTGATGAGACCCAGGAGACCCAGGGACACTCTCTCCCCACTGAGACAGTGTCATCACCCCAGCTAAGGGTTCCTTCTTCCCCAGGACTGAGCCCCAGCCCGAGGGCAGAGGGAGGAGCTGCCTGTGGCCCCTGCACCTGAGCGCAGCAGTGTCTCCTTCCCGAGTTCCAGGTGTCTGTGGAGACACTTTAAGCACTCGCCCTCCAGGTAGGCCCTGTGTATCTCTGCTTCACCAGTCTGCTCCCACTTGCGTTGGGTGATCTGGGCCACCACGTCCGCTGCTGTCCACGTTTTCAGGTCTTCATTCAGGGCAATGTAATCCTGGCCATCGTAGGCGTACTGCATGTACCCTCGGAGGAGGCTCCCGTCTGAACCCACGTGACAGCCGTACATCCACTGGTAGGTGTGATAGCCTGCGGGACCGGCGGTCAACCTCGACCACCATCCATGCCCACGCCCACGCCCACCCATGGATTCCTCCAAACTGAAGGGAAACAGGTCCCGGGTTGGTTCTGTTCCTGAAACTGGGACTTGAGACTGGGACGTCACTGGCCTCTGTGTCCAGACGTGGAGGGGTCCACATTTCCGAACCCGGGTCACTCACCGCCCTCACTCTGGTTGTAGTAGCTGAGAAAGTTCCTCAGTCTCACTCTGAAAACCTGCTCATTGTACTTGGCTCTCCATTTCTCCTGCTCCCAATACTCTGGTACTTGCTGCTCCACCCAGGGTGCGCGTGGCTCCATCCTCGGATTCTCTGCATCGCTGTCGAAGCTCACGAACTGCGTGTCATCCACGTAGCCAACTTCCATGTAACGGGGCTCCCTGAGTCCGGGCCGGGACATGGCAGTGTGGAAATAACGCATCGAGTGTGATCCTGGGGGCGGCGCGTGGTGAGACCCGGACCTCCTCCCAGGACCTCGGGCGGGCGGGTCCGGGGACCTGGAGGGGAGCAGGGTGCGGGGCTCGTGATGCGGGTGGAGAAGGTGTGGAGGGTGCGGTGAGTGATGCAGGGACATGGCTTCCCCGGTGCCGCCCCCCGCCCCTCCTCACAGAGACCATTTCCCTGCTGATCCCCTACTCACCCGCGCGGGGCTGGGTCGGGGCTGGGGCAGCCGCCAGCAGCAGGAGCAGCGTGCTCAGTGCCATAGCCCCCATCTGGGATCCGTGGCGTCTGGAATCCTGTGGGTTGCAAGGACTTTATAACCGGTGCCTCCGGCGACGCTGATTGGTTTTCCGGGATCATGACACCCAATGAGGGTGAGACCTGCCGGCGCGTCATCAGGGTCTGGGCAGAGGGACCTGACACAGTAGGTGCAGAAGTAAAACTGAGTATTTGGAGAAACCCCAGCCCTGGGCTTCCCGACCCCTCACCTCACCTTCTGGAGACTAAGACTTTTCCTGAACCCTGTGCTGCTGACATATATGGTTATGTATATGAATATGTATATGTATTCATATCATGGTATAACTGAAGTCCCCAGAGGATTTCTCTAGGGGAGCTATTATGGATTCCCAGAGCCCCCAACATCCCTAGCTTCACTCCAACATCCCTGGGATAATCCTGCCACCCACACTAACGTGGAGCTGGAGCCTAGTTCCCTTCTTTTCCACCTGTGATAAGAAAAGCTGTAAGAGTTCAAGGAAGATTTTGATACTAGAAAGTTTCCAGAACTGAGAGCAAATCCAGTTGCAGACAGTAGCAATGCAGGGTATGGATGTGTTTCTCATTAATGTGCAGAGCACACTTCTAAAGGAAACTGAGAGAAAACTGAGACCCTGCCCTTTCCTACCTGTGTTTCTCTTCTTCAAGATAAAAGATACCACAGCTCCAGTGATGGCCACAGCTCCAAGGACAACCAGAAGTGCAATGATTGCCAAGGATGTCGATGGAGGCAGTAAGAGTGGCAATGGGGCCTGCACCAGGGTCCGAATCATGAGTGTCAACAACCCATCACCATTCCTTATACATCACACCACAGCACTGTGTGTGAGTGGTGGGTGAGCATTAAGGGTCTCCCATGCCAGATGCTTGATGAGCATGTCTCTAGTTGGGTCAGCATCTAACTGCCTTTCCACTGCCTCAGTCACATGGGACAGGAGGTCCCTGAAGAACTTCCCTGATTGCTGGACAAGGTTGTGAAAGTAAGTAGAGGGCTCTCCAAGGGTGCAGACTTTCAGGGCCTTAAAGGCAAGATCAGCCAGTTCATTAAAGTAAGCATGCAGCCTGATAGTGGTCTGAATGACCAGGTTAATGTACGCCCCGTGGCGAGTAAGCATGTCAAGACTAGTGTTAAGATTGTATTCCAGATTAATTCTAGCCTGATTGTCAGCTGAGTCATTTTATGCAGACCTCCAATTTAGAAACACAGCAGGGAGGAGCACCACCTTAAGGAGATTATACCAATCGTAATAGGTCTGGAGTTGCACGGCCCACTGATTCAATACTTATTCATAATAAAGGCCTGAATCTTTGGAAGCTTTTCTGATTTGTGCCAAGTCTGCCAGAGGACTGGGAATCCAGGGCCTATTCCCAGCATCAGGGCCCATATTGACAGGGAAATCTCATGACATGCCTGAGGAGGGATGATGCCCTGGGGAGAGGCAGTCTAGCAGGAGGGACAGGAAACCCAGGAGTGAGGCCTGAAGGCAAAGTCCTCCTAGATCACACCAGAGGTGAGTCAGGGGTTCATCCCATGGTGCAGGGGCTGAGGGGCTCATGAGCAAGGGACCTGGGACAGCAGGGCTTGAGGATGGCATGAAACCTGATGGCGGGATGGAGGGGAAGTGAGAAAGCTGAAATGTCCTCATCCTCATCACTGAGATCATCCTGTTTGGTGGAGAAAGCAGGACAGTGTCAGTAATGGAAAGGTGTACATTTGCCTGATCCTGGCAGTGCTTGTTATGGGTGACCACCACTTCCTCATAGGAAGAATTCTTAAGACTTGCCATGACCACAAGGAGGAAGGGGACAAAGAACCAGGGAGGTGCAATCCCAGACTGTATCTCACAATTGCAAGGAAGTGAACACCCATCCAAAGATCCCACATGTTCTCTAGAGATATCCAGAGGAACAAAATGACAGCCTTCTCCCCAAATTGGTCTAAGTCACAAGTTTTAACCTTGAGACTGAAGGTCACAAGAAGGGTTTTCAGTGCCCTAATCTGGGGCACCTTGATGGTGGAGGAGAGGGAGCCCATAATGATGAGGGCAAAGGAAACATACAAGAGGAACAGACAGGTATGACTGAAGAGGTTTGTAGCAGAATTCTCCCCCAATTAATTTAAGTATTAATACAAAGAGAAGCCAGTCATTGGACAGGAAAAAGGAAGGTGGAGCTAAGAGTTTCAGAGACAGAGACAGGAAGGGAGGAGAAAGAGGAGGAGGGCTAGAGAAGATGGATGAAGAGGACCAACCTTGTCTACGTGGACTGATATAGCCACAGGTAGCTATAAATATCATAAAAGGATAGAAAAATTGGGATAACTTGTCAAATCTAGGTGGGCAGTTTGTATCATCAATTGGCTCTGAATTTATTGTGTGGGTATCTTTTGAACTGAGAATTTATTGATATGTAAAACTGACTGATAATTACAAGCTTCTAGAGTTTTGATTTACTGAGCTACAGGGATTTGTGACAGCCAGCCGTAGGGGGTGGATGGCTAGGAAGGTACAAGCAGCTTTGGGGCAGGAGAACCAGAGCTAGGAAGACCTGGGGCTAGTGATGGAGGGGGTGAGACCACCACCGGGGTCAGAGAGTAGCCAGTGCTAGCATGGGATGATGTCTCTTTTTAATATTTCTCACAACAGAGATTAAATATTTTTAAGATAATTCTTAATATAATTGCATACGTTAGTCAGGGTCTTAGGATATTTCAGAGCCAAGTCATTAAAGACAGGCTTTTAATGGCCTAATCTGCTTTCCTGATAAGATGCTCTGTCTGCTTCAGTGTCCTTCCTCAGCAGGTGTCCCTGGCAGGTGATAGTATGCTATCCTGTGTGGAGACTGCAGGATGCTCCCCATGTTGAGAGCCCTGAAGGCTCATGACCACCTTCCTGGGATGCTGTGTCTCCCAACAGTTCCTGTGGAAAGTTGAATGTACATCATAATTGAAGTAACACAAAATGCCCAGCAAATATCAGTAGCATCAGGGAGATCAACATCAAGACCATGAACACAAACAGTTGTTCAGCACCTTAAAACCATGATGATGATCTGTGTATCAGTAATACAGTGTTCTTTCTCTGCACATACTTGCTTCATGTGCCCCAGCATCTTCCCAACAACACAGAGAGCATTACAAAGGATGCCAGCTCCCTCAACTCCAGGTTCAGGCATCTTCTGTTGTCCCTTTGATTGGGATGGGGTCTGATGACACCAGGCATCCTTCAGACTCACCATATAGCTGAGGCTGTGTTTGAACTCCTGACATTCTGGATCCCCCTATGGAGTTCTGGGGTCAGCAGCACACCTCTATGATCAGCTACTGTGTGGCATATACACACATGTAAATCATGGCCCTCTGGTCATTACACCTCCTCTCATCTCCCTGTCCTGCCTCTCCTGTTGCTCCACTCCAACTGATTCCCTTGCTGTTCTAGCCTAACATATTTAAATCTTGAGACCACTTATGAACAAATATGTGTGCACATATTCCTTCATATTCCTTCAATATGGTTGTCCCTTTCTCTGCTGGGAAAAAAAATCCTTCTGGGAGCCTGTGTCTGAACCCTACACAGCAGTAAACCCTGTCTGCATTCTGTGTGTTACTGTATACACACTCCTATGAAACAGTTGCTACATTAATTGCAGTAAGAGATGATTAACAGTTGCATGCAGAATGCTGAGAACAGGGTAATGTAATAGATGTGATTTAGTTCCTCCCCCTCTCCACTGCCCTGTGCTCACCCCTGTGTTGGTGATTGAAGACAGATGAGCGAATCTGTGCATCTGACAGCTGAGGCAGCCCCTGAGCACCTCAGCCCTGTGCATCATGAACAGTGTGGACACTGGACAGAGGAGGCCAAGGTCTCACACCAGGTAAGACAGGGTCATCATCCCATAGAAAGAAAGATAAAATGTAAAAACATGTGTCATTTATTTCTATAGTGTTTGCCTTGTTACTTTCAGATCTTAGTTAACCAAAGTCATTAAAACTGAGGAAAAAGAAACCCCTTGGTAAGAGTCCCAGGGCAGCCAGGCGGTGGTGGCGCACACCTTTAATCCCAGCACTTGGGAGGCAGAGGCAGGCAGACTTCTGAGTTTGAGGCCAGCCTGGTCTACAGAGTGAGTTCCAGGACAGCCAAGGTTACACAGAGAAACCCTGTCTCCCTGTCTCGAAAAACAAAACAAAACAAAACAAAAAAAGTCCCAGGGCAGCAGTTTGGCTCCATGTATTGCAACCAAAGGAGAAAGAATGTTAGTCACCTCACACTGCCTGGGTCTCCAACAGCTCTGACTCCCTGTTCAGGGCCCAGGCATTACCTCCTCCCAGGAACAATTCACACAAATCTCTGTGTATATTTTCCTGGGAAAACTGACAGCGCTGCTCCATGGAATGTGAATAACAAAGGTGAAGCATGTTCTGCTAGGCTCTGCAGATGTGTCTCTGAAATCTATGGTCCTGCAGGACATGTCGGTGCTGGCCTTAAATGTCAGCACTCATGAGGCTGTGGCAGGAGGAAGAGGCAGGCAGATTTCTGTAGGATCCAGGTGAGCCTGGTCTACAAAGAGGCTCAGGAAGCCATGGCTACATAGAGAGAACCACAGGAAATCTGTTTATCTAGCTCTCTGTCTGTCTAACTGTCTATCTCTACCCATCCATCCTACCATCTATCTATCTCTACCCATCCATCCTACCTATCTATCTATCCATCCATCCATCTATCTATGAACCAATTTACTTACATCTGGGAATTTTCAAGACTAAGTGTCTTGGGGCAGGAAATCACTGCCCCCTCCAAGGAACCCCATGCCCAGCCTGTCCTCAGCCCTAGGAGTAAAGGCCCTGCAACGTGGACCTGAAGGCCATCTTAGTGGATATGCAAATCTGCATAGTGACAGTGAGAACCTGGACTCTGGTAATAGGACCCAAGCCATTTCCTCCTCCTCCTGTTTCCCATGCCATCTGTGCCTGGCTCCCTTTGCTAACACAAAGATTATGATTAGCTGTGATATTGTCATGAATCACAGGATGATATCTGTGTGAGCACTGCCCTGTGATGTAACATTCCATTTTCTCTGTCCACCTATAACCAATTGATGACCTGATTGTTATTTTCTGAATCACATGGTTCTACTGGTGATTCCAAGGATCTGTCACACTTGGGCCCCCATCAGCATCCTCCTGCAATGCATCCAGTCCTCTGTAGGGTTTCCTGGGGTCCCAGTGACTTTTCTTCCAGTTTGTTCCTCTTAGCTGCAGCTGCCTCCTTCCTTAGCATCCTAGAGCCTTGGGTTGAAAAAAACATCTCTAGAATAGTTGGATGCTTTCAGTATTCTCCAGGTCTCATGGTGTAGACAGTCTCTGATTCTGCTCCAGGTGTCTGTTTCTTTCTTCTTCTTCTCAGAACACACAGGTATGCTTCTGCCTCAGCACATCTGCACTGCAGGATCCATGGTCTGGAAGGAACTTGGTTCAGCACCCTGGGGAAAGTTTTTTTACAATCTTCAACTCTTTCCTCAAAGGTCACCCTCTGAATGACACCACACTGAACACCTAATTCAACAGCACTCTTAGGGCTGAGAGCAACCTTCCTCCTATGAGAACCAAGTGCAGTTTCCAGCACCACATCCAGGGCATCTGACACCCTCTTTAGACCTCCAGGACCCCTGAACTCACCTGACCATACCCACACTAACACACACATCCACTGAGGTGGATCCAGTGAGAAGTATCCCCCATGGGCTAGGGTGGTTGGCCTTTGTTCCCTACTTGGTGGTACTATAGGGGAAGGTTGTGATTTAAGAAGAGGTGTGGCCTTGCGTGAGGAAGTAGGTTCCTAGGGGAAGTTTGTGAGAGTAAAATGACCTGGCTGCTTCCACTTTGCTCTCTCTACCTCCTGTTTTCCATTATGGATGTGAGCTCTCAGCTTCCTGCTCCACCCACGATGCCAGCAGCTTGCTGCAACACTTCCCTGCCATGATTCACTCTTATCCATTGGAGCTTCATTGCAAACACACTCTTCTCAATGGTCATGGTGCTTAATTACAGTAACAGAAAAGTAGTACATACACATAATTAAAAATATTTTTGAGACAACGGTCACTATGTAGACAGGACTGTCCTTGAACTCACAGAGATTCACATGCCTTTTCCTTCAAAAGCCTAGGTATAAAGGCAGGTAGCAGTATGCCACACTGAAACATAAGGAATCATAAAAACCAACACTGCTCTGCCCTGTTCCTCTCACCTGCACTCTTGACATCTTCCCCTCTGCCCTCTACAACCTGAGACAACCCGTCCTTGTGATTTCTCCTACACTGTATCACATGCATCTTTCCTGGTCAGTACATGTTCCTCAGGCCAGCAAAGCTGTATTATGTGTTAGTGTGTCTCAGAAGCAGAGACCTTACAGCACATATCTGGAACAGGCTGTGTGGGTGAATGACAAAAGACACAGGTATGTCACCTGCTAGAGGAGTGCATTTCCTCCAGCCCAGAGAGAGATAATGACAGCAGACCAAGGAAAGCATCCATCCATGGTCAGCTTGGTGAACCTTGAGTTCTCTGGTTACTCATTGGAGCGTGTGTGAGTTGAGGGATAATCACTGAGCAGCCCTGCCCAGTGTGCATGTCCACTCATAACAGCTGCATCACTGCAGTCCCCTGCAGGGCTCCCAGCAGCTCCCCTCATCGTCTCTCTCAGGAAGTGCTGCTGGTTCAACCCTGACAGGGACTTGTTACATTGTGTAAACTCAGTGAGTCTGTAGCTTCTTGTGTTTCCTGAGGCTCATTAGCCTCCTACTGGCTCCAGCAGGGAATGTTTCAGTGTGGAGGAGAAAGTCCTATAGTCACCTTCCAATTCTCATCTGGGCACATCTTCATTTACACTCAGCTCCCACAGCCTCATCCTGTCCCAAGATACACAAAGCATAGTGACCCAGATTCTGGAAGATTCACCATCTGTCATTTATTTCCTCCACAAAATCTAAGTATTTTCAATCCCTTATTTACTTGTCAATCAACCCTCAGGTCAAGGATGTGAACAATCCAGTTCACACTCAGATTCTTACTCTCAATGTGGAAGTGAGGAGCTGCAGCTCAGGGCAGCATGGAGCTGACAGGATGCAGATGCCCCTAGATAAGGATGGTTGGCTGTGGAAGGGAACACAGGCAGTGCAGGAACAGGACCCTGGTGTGCAAGGGCAGACTTGGCTTCACAGTTCTTCATGTTGAGCCCACAGGCTCACAGGGAACATTAGACACTGTAGTCTAAATAAATCTGAGGGCTCTGGACATCACAGGAGAAACCTGAATGCATCTTCTGTTACTCAGTCCACTCCAGGCAGCTGTCTTCATGCTAGAGAACAGGAGTCATGAACAATCACTATGAAGACAACATTCCAACAACCCACCACTCACAGGGTATTCTGAGGTCCCTAAAACCCAATCATGTCCACATTGCCTTTTCCCAAGAAAGACATCTACTGTCACCTTTACAATCTGGAAGAGACATATCAGAGCTCTGGAAGCTGTCACTGCCTTGGGTAAAACCAATCAAATGTATATGTATACGTACATATATGTATATGGTGTATACGTATATGCATATGTATGTATTCATATCACAGTACAACTGAGGCCCAGAGAAGATTTCTCTAGAGGAGCTATTATGGATTCCCAGAGGTCCCCTACATGTGTAGCTCCACTCCAATGGCTCCGGGACAATCCCACCCTCCACACTAACGTGGAGCAGCAGCATAGTCCCCTCCTTTTTCACCCATGAGAATAAAAGTTGTGAGAGTTCAAGGAAGATTGTGACACTAGGAAGATCCCAGAACTGACAGTAGACCCAGTTGGAAATAGCAGCAATGCTGGCTGTGGATGTGTTTCCCAGCAATGAGCAGAGCACTCTTTAAAAAAAAAAAAAAATCTGAGACAAACTCAGATTCTGCACTTTCTTACCTGTGTTTCATCTCCTCTTCATCATAAAAACCACCACGGCTAAAATGATGGCCACAGCTCCAAGGACAACCAAAACAACAATGATTGCTATGTTAGAGTCAGTGGATGGAAGAGACTCTGGGAAGGACAGGTAGAGGAAATGAAGGTGAGGGTCATGACTCCAGCTCTCAGCCCTGACTATCTCAGGGTCTGCAGAAGGTTTCATCTTTTCCTGACTCCAGCTCTGCACCCACAACCTCCTTACCCCATCTCAGGGTGAGAGGCTGAGACAGCCCCTCATGTTGCACATGGCATGTGTAATTCTGCTCATTCCCTGAAGGCACCACCACAGATGCCCACTTCTGGAAGGTTCCATCCCCAGAAGGCCTGGTCTGCACAAGCTCCATGTCCTGAGTCAGCTCCTCCCCATTCAACTGCCAGGTCAGGGTGATGTCAGCAGGGTAGAAGTCCAGGGCCCAGCACCTCAGGGTGACATCACCTTCAGATCTGGGGTGATGGTTCACATGTGCCTTTGGGGGATCTGTGTGGAAGATTTAAGAAATCTCACAACTAATAAGACAAGCTGAAATCTACACAAGACTCAGTTGAATCAATGATGACACTAAACTACCTGTCTGTTTGAACACTTCAGCTTTCATTGTACTAGTGATCAGCAGGTAGAGTTGGTCCCCAAGCACAGAACTGCACATTACTGGGGACTTAGAAGCTAAGAGGGAATCTACATGAGCCAGTGCGTCAACATGGTCATTCTTATGTGATGTTCTATAGCATGAGACAGGTAGTCAAAGAATGGAAGATGAAATGGAAAATATATAATTTATTTTTGTGTTTGAGTTCATATCAAAATTAGAAATTAGGGCCATATACTCCTGGAAGAAAGCCAGCACCAAACTCAACCACTTTGGTCATCTTGCTGACTAGAATTAACAGTCAGTTCAAGTTAACATCCATCACAAAGTGTATAACAGAAATGTGGTGAACCTCTGATACTCAGCCAGAGAAAATGACTCCTAGTCCTTGCTTCTGGACCAACTAGGTACGGGTGTGTTACACAGGATTCCTGGAGTGTGCTGTGGACCCCAGTGCAGCACTCACTGGAACACAGTAGGCTCACAGGGTTTGTGGATCTTCCCTCTCACTCCAGCCCTGGATTACAGAAGACCCTGTCTCTCATGAAGTCCTATTTCTGATTCACTAGGGGGAGCACTGTAACTTGTAGGGGCAGAGGAAGAGCAGGAGGCTTCTGGATGTTTAGTTCTGACAGGAAACTGTCTAAGTTGACAAGAATCTCTCCTTTAATGCGAATCCTGGTTTAACTTGTCTAATTATCCAGGTTAGCAGGCTCCCTGGCACCTGTGAAAACTGATACAAATGATAATACAAGGGCATGGAGAAACAGGATCATTCCAGTGCAGACAAAAACTGATTAGAAGCAAAATAATGCATTCAAGAAAAAATAAGAAAGAAAGAAAGAAAGAAAGAAAGAAAGAAAGAAAGAAAGAAAGAAAGAAAGAGAAAAGAAAAAGAAACTTCACCATTTATATTCTTCCAGGGAACCTCATAAAGGCTCATGTGACCATTCATCAGAACTGGATTGTTTAAGAGATGCAAATCCCACAAACAGGGGTGGGGGATCTGTGAGAATGAGGTGTAAGGGCTGACAAACTCAGCATGACAGGAGTCAGTGTCCACAGACAGTGGGTGTGGGCAGAGAACCAGGCCTGAGAGAGATCATGGCTGACAGCAGGGAGCCCCTGCTGTTAAGTCAGGAAATCCTCTCCTTCCCTCCTGAGACAGACTGGGAACTGTCCAGGGAGAAGGCTGAGCCCTGGGAGAGTGAGTGCAGTCACTGTGATGAGGATCAGGAGACCCAAGGACACTCTCTCCCCTCTGAGACAGGGGCATTACCCCAGCTGAGGGTTTCTACTTCCCCAGGACTGAGCCCCAGGCCCAGAGCAGAGGGAGGAGCTGCCCGAGGCCCCTGCACCTGTACGCAGCAGTGTCTCCTTCCCGCACGCCAACAATCTGCGAAGCCACTCCACGCACTCGCCCTCCAGGTAGGCCCTCTGTATCTCTGCCTCACCAGCCTGCTCCCACTTGTGTCGGGTGATCTGTGCCGCCATGTCTGCCGCCGTCCACGTTTTCAGGTCTTCGTTCAGCGCGATGTAATCTCGGCCCTCGTAAGCATACTGTGTGTATCCGCGGAGGAAGCTCCCATCCGACCTCACCTCACAGCCTTGCATCCACTGGATGGTGTGAGAGCCTGTGGAACCTCGTGGTCAGCCCCGCCCACCTGGCCAGCCTTAGATCGGCCCCGCCCCGGTCCCACCCACTTGTGGATTCCTCCAAACTAAAGGGACCAGGTACAGGTCTTTTCCGTTCCCGGACCTCTGACTTGAGACCTGGAGCGTCTCTGGCCCCTATGTTGGGGTGTGGAGGGGTCGTGACCCCCGACTCGGGGTCACTCACCGCCCTCACTCTGGTTGTAATAGCGGAGAATGTTCCTCAGGCACACTCGGAACCACTGCTCTGCATTCTTGGCTCTCCATGTCTGCCACTCCCAATACTCTGGCTTCTCCTTCTTTACCCATGGCGCAAGCGGCTCGTATCTTGGATTCTCAGCATCGCTGTCGAAGTGCACGAACTGCGTGTCGTCCACGTAGCCGACAGAGATGAACCGGGGCTTCCCGAGGCCGGATCGGGACACGGCAGTGTGGAAATACCACAGCGAGTGTGAGCCTGGGGGCGGCGCGTGGTGAGGCCCCGATCTCCTCCCCAGGCGGGTGCGCAGGCCGGGAGGGGAGTAGGGCACAGGAATCAGGGCACAGGTTGGAGAAGGGGCGGAGGGTCCGGTGGGCGATGCGGGGATGTTGCTTCCCTGATGTCGCCCCCGCTTCTTCCCAAAGAGGCCTTTTACCTCCGACATCGCACTCACCAGTGCGGGTCTGGGTCCTGGCCAGGGCGACCACCAGCAGCAGGAGCAGCGTGTGTGGAGCCATCGCCTCCATCTGGGATCTGGGAAGTCTGAGTCCCGCGGGCTGCGTGGACTTTATAACCAGTGCCCGCTGAGATGCTGGTTGATTCCATAGGATTGCCCCACCCAATGGGGCTGAGAACTCGCCGTGCCTCATCAGTGTCCAAGCAGAAGGACCTGGCACAGTAGATGCAGAAGTAAAACTGAGGAGATGAGTAATCCCCAGCCTTGGGCTTTCCCACCCCAGACCTCACCGCCTGGAGACTAAGATTTTGCCTGAACCCTGTGCTGCGGACACAGCGCTGTTTGTCATGGTGTCTCTGAGTTCTGACCCAGAAGCTGTCTGGACACCAGGAGAAACCCGCAGTCCAGACTCTCTGTGTCCTCTCCTCCACCCTTCCCCTTCCTTTTCTTCCGAAGTCACTTCCGGGAATACAATGGCAGTACAAGCTGTTGAGGAAGCAGAGGAGAGATGCTTCCCCTTAAAGCAGAGGTGCTGGCCTGAAAGCCCCACAGTGACCCCACAGAGACCAGCCTTTGTTCATCTGCAGTGTTAGGCTCACACTGCCAAGCCTGGATGCATGACTCTTATCAGTAAAGAGAAGACTTTGCCTCTTTCCTCAGGATCTGTCTTCTCAGCCTCGGACTTAGACTCCTCCTATTTCTTCACAGATGAAGTGTCTGTAGCTCCAGATGGGTGTGTTTTATTAACAAGGATCTTCATTCCAGGTCTTGAGATTCTCTCTATGGATCTCTGTCATTGTCTCTGCACTGTAGACCCCCCCTCGTTAACTGGGAAGAGGGTTTACTATCAAAGAGAACACAAATCACCCCATTCTCCATGGTTTGTTCCAAGGTTCTCCAATGATTTTCCAAACGTGGTTAACATTAGGAACCATAGGGTGGTATATATCTGTAGTGTATGCTGTCCCATACACCCCCATTTTTAACTTACAGGATCAATAGGGACATTCTCCGTAGGTGTTAATGTCCTTAAAGCATGATGTGTCTGATTATCAAGGAAAGCAAGCAAAGGAATCAACACTGGAAGTGGCATTTGGTGTATAGGAATCATAAGGGGTTTCTGACATCCTGCTAGTGAGCAGCCTCCAGTCCTGATTATCTGTTTCTTCTCATGATATGGTTCCTTGACATTAAACAAGGAAAGCATAGTTTTAGGAGGAGTGTGGCTAGCCCCAGCATGGTGTGTGTTAAGGAGGGTAAAAACAGCCATGAGAATGACACAGAAGGAGCATGGGGGTTTGACAGGTAGGGGTGGGAAACAGCTGCATGGAGCTGTGTCAATGAGTACATGAGTGTCCTTCCAGGTGATCTGGTTGTGTGCCCTAGGGTTCCTTCATGGTCTTCTCTTTGTTTTCTCTGTGATCCCCAGGCATGAAGGCTTTCTGACTGGAGGGGTTCATCGGACATTGCAGGCCAGTACCCAGACAGGGTGAGGTTGATCCTCTAGAAAAATAGAAACAAATCCCCTTCCTACTGTTGATAGGGAATCTGTACCCCTCCAACACCTGTCAAATGGGTCCTTCCATCTGACCAGGATGGATGGTATTATGTGGTGGTTGTCTCCAGTGACAGACAATGGGAGGTTTGTCTTGGGTGGCATAGAGGTTGAACACATTCATTGTAAATAATGCCACTTTTAATTTGGTATTTTGTGGTAGGAAGCCTTGTGTTTAATTAATTATTTTTAAAGTATTTGATTTGTTCTTTCAATAACAGCTTAGCTCTGAGGGTTGTGCGGGATACCAGTATGGTGGATAATTTTCCAAGACTTGCAGAAACTATAGAATTGATGGTGCTGAAAGCCAGTTCAGTATCAGCTTTGACATGGAGAAGGAGCCCCATAATATGAAAAATGGAGAACATGACATTATTTGGGTTTCTTTTTATGGGGATGGGTATCAATGATAATGAATACAAATTTCTGTGTAACAAATGATGGGATGTGGGTGACATATGAGATCCTCATATTAGCAAAAGTGGAGAACATGCAATTAATTAGGTTTTTAAATGGGAATGGGTGTAAATGGTAATGAATACAAATTTCTGTGTATGGAGTGATGAGATGTGGGTGACATCATTCTTGCAAGAGGGCATTAGCATCAGGCCTCTGGAGTTGGTGCCCAATTGTTGTATAGCAGGACTGCAAGTTAGGGAGGCACAGGAGGAGCAAGTTCTGAGGATGTGTTTGAGGTATTTTATTGGAGCATTGGGGAATTTGAGCTGTAGCCCTTTCAGGTTAATATGGGTTAGCTAATGTAAGCTCTTTAGCAGTAAGAGGTGACATTGTAAAGTCCCCAGTTGTGGCAGTCTTACCGGCTGAAGTGTTGCCATCAACAAGGGGTCTGATGAGGGATGAGTGTGACCACACATGGCTGACTAAAAATGGATATGTTATAGTTCCAAGTATTTTTGAAATCTTAATTAATACTTGAGAGAGAGGGTCACCACCAGATCTGACATATGAGCAGGCTAGCCAGTGGAGTAAGCTGACTGGATAAGTGCTGTCTGAATATAGATTAGATGGTTCTTTTAGGTATGTTAAGACCAGGAAAATTGAATACAGTTCTTTAAATTGGGTAGATTTGTCTGTGAGAGGGGAAAAGATTTGACTCAGGGACAATGTTTCTTTGGTATACTGTGTAGATGGCACCCTGTGACTCTCCATGTGTAAAACCTGTGGGCCTTGGGATAGCAAACCAAGAGAACATGGGAGGAAGAAGCCACCTAAAGACTGGTGGGGCTGCAGAAATTTATCTTTGGAGTAATGGTTGTCTGTCTGTCCTGGGAAGTGAATGAGGCCATTAGCAAAAGAGGTGTAGTTTCTCAGGAGCCACAGGATGTCTGGGAGGGGGAAGGGTAAAACAGTTACATCAAGTTCTTTACCTATAAGTTTTAAGGTATGCTCTCTTCCTGTCCTTATAGTGGATAAAGTGTCAACCTCAATTAGTAGTTGAGGCTCTTCCCCTATTGGCATATGGAGCCATTCTAGTATCCTTTCCGGTTGATGTAAGGCTCCAACCACTGTGTAGGAAGAACTGAATGTAAAGACCTGGATTGGGTGTTGTGGATCATAACTGTCGGGAGCAGCCTTGCTTATACAGTGAAGGCCTAAAATCAGCAATAGGCCTAAGTCAGCCATACATGCTTGCTAACACAAAGTCTTGGTCTCTGTGGAAATTTACCAGCCTGGATAAGAACTAATAGTCATAGATCTTGTGGATAGGAAGCCTTGGTAAATAGTACCAGCTTAGATAAGAACAAGTGAATCATAGACAGAGTCATAGTGACCTGTTCCATGCTTCTTCACCCAGCTGATTCCCTGTTCTGGAAAATATCTGTAATCCCCCTGAGAACACCTACACTCCTGCATTATCCCCTTCCCCACATCCTGACTCTATGTGTATTTAACCCCTCTGTCAAAAAATTAAAATCAGTGGTTTGATCAGACTATAGACAAGCCTCTCGTTCTTTGCATCCCCTGTCCTCCAGTTCTCTCTTCCAGGTCTTCTGATCCCAGTTCAATGTCCCATGGGACTGAGGCATTCTGGCTCCTCAAACAGGGACTCTGGAGATTGAGGATAAGAGAACACTGGCTCTGCATAGAGGGGTAGGTCTACCCAGTTTTCAGGAGCATTGAGGGTGACTGCCCAGAGTGCCTGAGGGCATGTGGCATTACAGATCACTCCCTAGAGTGACTCCCAGAGGTGCTGCCCTTTGCATTTTCTGGAGCCCTCAAGAGAGACAACTCCCGAAGTTTCTGAGAACACTTCAAATTCGGAAGAATGCCACGATCTACCTGCCACTGAGACAGTCTGTGTGTGTGAGAGAGAATCAGAGCATCAAAGAGACCAGAACTTTGAGGTAAAGCGATAGGACAGGCATTTTCTAAGCAGTCACTATTTGTGACAGACTCAAGGTGTCTACTCAGGACTCGAGGAACTAGGGTTAAGAAGAAAGAATCTTTAAAAATTCTTTACTTTCATTAGTGTTTTTTTCCCAAGAGGGGACTATTGGGGGGAAAAAAAAGCTATATTCCCTACAGAGAAGATAAAAGGTTAAACCTTGAAAATGAGAGAGAGAAAGGGCAAAATTGAAAACAGTTGCCCACTCTCTGGTGTAACAAAAGAAAAACAAAAGCTTATTACAGAGCCCTCCTGGGATCAGAAGAGAATCCTGTGTTCTCTCTGATTCCTACTGGAGAGACTCTCAGTTCTGCTTTCTCTGTTTATTGTCTGTCCTTGGTGCACCAATCTGTCCATGGGTGTCAGTTGTCTGTCTTTGTCTCCTTGTTTGAATGATTGTTGTTCTATGTTTCATGTACAAAAGAAAAACTGGTTAAAACTGCTTGCTTGATTTAGTTTGAAACTTGCTTGGAAATAACAGTTTCAATTTACACAATAGAAGCTGATAATTTACCCTGCTCTGTGTCTGGGAGTAGCACACTGGCAGAAAGAACCTTGGCAAGAGTTAATTGTTTTCATAAGTGGCTCTTGGAAGGGGGCCAACAGCTTTTTGGCTTCTACAGTAAAGGAATTGATAGTGGTTCTTCCCGGTTAGATAAGTGAAAGGATGCTTTTCTCTTAAAATTATAGCTAAAAAGTTAACAAAAATTTAGATGTACATTTATTTTCATTCTTAATTTGTTTCAAAAAATATAAGTATACTCTATATGTCCTAGTTATATGTTATTGGGTATGGTTACAAATTTATAATTTTGGTAACAAAAGCTAGATTAAAACTGGTAGCTTAGAGTTAGAGTCATTCAAAAACCAGATGTATAAAGAGATCTCAGTGGGAGTTTTATCAGGGATCAAACAAGGCCCTGATAAAAATCTTATTTTTGTTACACAATTGCCTTATTAGTTGATCCCTCTAAAGGAGTTTTAATACAAGCCTTTGCCCTCATACAGTGAGCTTTAAAATTATAGAGAGTGCTCGTTGCTCCAAAAAACATTCAAAGACAATATCTTTTGAATATCTAAGACATCAGCTATATTCCTAAATAAATTGTGACACAAAAAATTCAAGTAAGAAAAGATAGTTTATGTTTGGTGTTCCTGGCAATGTCTGGGTTTCGAGTGGCTTCTGAGATCCCGGGCCTCGTAGACCAGGACGTGTTTGATGAGGAAGCGGACGAGTCTCTGCTAGTGCAGCGGGAATGGCAGGGTCACATGCGGAATGAGTCCAAGAAGGTTACAGAGATGGGATGGATTCTGGCAAAGCAGTTACTCTTCAACAGGGCTTCAATCAAGGATATAAAGAGGGTGCAGACATTGTTATAAACTATAGGCTACTCAGGGGAACACTGAGTGCTTTGCTTTCCTGGTGTCGCCTTCATGGTAATAGTTCGACTTTGATCAGTAAGATAAATAATCTTCTGGATGCAGTTGGCCAGTGTGAAGAGTGTATGCTCAAACATCTGAAATCAGTTACATCCCAGCCATGAGTTACAGATTTATTGGACTCCATTGAGGAAATGGACCTTTGTCACGTAGTTCCAGCTGAGAGAAAGGCTAATGAAGTGAAAGGTGACAATAATGCTGAGATTAACACAGATTCTGACAAGAGTCCAAATGGGATGGATTGTTCACATCCAGAATGTTGTAGAACACAAGAGCATGGGCATTTGGAAAAGCCAAGCCTCACTTGGATTCTGGAACAGACTTCCAATTTAGTGAAACAGCTGGGGGTATCTGTAGACATACTACAGCACCTGAGACATCTATGAAATTATCTCCCCCTTTCTGTGAAAGTAATGCTGGGGATATTAGAGCATTTTGTTCTAGATAAGGTAACCGCTGATTGAACACTTCCCCTGTAATTACCCTTTGTGGAAGTGCTAAGGGCCTTAAACATTAACACTAGCAAATGGAATGATTTTTGTCTTTGTCATTGGTAAATTGTTTAGTTCTAGATACACTCAGAAATCCTCATTGTCATTTTCAAATTTCTAATCAAAATCAGTCATTTTTAGACTAGCAAAAGCCAAACATTTTAGAACAAGAAAAAAAAAGTCTAATGCTGCTTTCTGCTTTTTGTCAGAATCAGGTGGTTTAGGACCTCTTCACCAACAAGCAAGCCAGAATTGCCAGAAATAACCTGAAGGCTAACATAGATAAGTAGAAGCAGATCTATAGATAGCTATACATTAAAGTCAAGAGACTGTAGAAACTGACACAATATATCATTGAATGGATAATAAAGTACTAAAACTCAAAAAAAATAAAAGAAAAGATAGTTTACTTATTTTAAATTATTTTCAAAAGTTTCTAAGAGATGCTACTTGGCTAAGATCTTATTTTAAGCTCTCCACAAAAGAATTTAAGCCTCTGTCTAATATTCTCAAAAGAGATACAGATGCTAATTTCCCTCAACAATTAATTGACAAAAGATAAGTAATTTTACAAAAAGTAGAAAAAGCTATTTGTTGGGAGCCAACTCTGAACAGAAAGCGGCTATCATCTTTGTAGTCATCTTGAGCCATATACCCTGACAAGAGACTTGTTTTCAACAGCCTACAACAGCTGAGCACACTCTGATAATTATCTTGATCCTTTTAATCAAGGCCAGGCAGTGGTGGCACAGGCTTTTAATCTCAGCACTAGAGAGACTCAAGGTGAGACTCAAGGCGAGATGAGACTCAAGGTGAAACTTGAGGAGAGATATAAAAAGAGAGACTTGAGGAGAGAACAAGGCAGACTCCGTCTCCAGAACAGACTCAACAGACTCCATCTCCAGCAACAGACTCCGTCTCCAGAACAGACTCTGTCTTGTCTCCATTCTTCGAGTCTCTGTCCCCACTCTCTCTTGCTAGACCCTGACCTGTGGACCAGAACAACAGAACGGGCCATTACAGCTATTATTAATAAATATATTATATAAATTAATTAGTTGTTGGCTGTTTTATAACAGTCCTTTGATCAAAGAGATTATTAATATAGATTTATATTTCTTTATTTTTAAAAGAAGTTTTAACATCCTGTTTTAAAGCTATTGCTATGTTAATACAAAATTATAGGTCAAGATTACAAAGGTATTTTAAAAAGAACTTAATGAAATATTTCCTGTTCCAAATAATAATATAATTGATTATTAAAAATGCTAATATTTAATTTATTACATAAACAATTTGTTACAGTTTTCCCCTATACATGCTTTTATATTTCTTATAAGTTTATACATACAGCCCATTAAAGGTGTGTTCACTGCATTAATAGACAGTTCATTTAATGGGAAGACAGTATATATAATTAGATTATATGTTCACTCTTTTGAGTTCCCCCCTGCTTTAGCACAGATAATTGAACTATGTGTTATAGCCACTATTTAAAATGCAAAAAATTAAACTTTCAATTTGCATGCTCACAGCCAGTATATAGCTCATGGTTTATAACTGCTTAAAATTTTTCCTCTTTCAGATATTGCTAATTTTCAAATTTTACAAATACAGCTCAAATTTTAAAAACATGTATTTTTCCTTAATTTTATAGGACATTTAAAAGTTCATACTGGGGCTGGAGAGATGGTTCAGTGGTTAAGAGCACAGTCTGTTCTTCCAGAGGTCCCGAGTTCAATTCCCAGCAACCACATGGTGGCTCACAACCATCTGAAATGAGATCTGATGCCCTCTTCTGGGGTGTCTGAAGACAGCTACAGTGTACTCACATAAAATAAATAAATTTAAAAAAAAAAAAGTTCATACTGGATTGCCTGGATCCCAAGAAAATATCAAATTTGTATATCAAATAGATTACATACCTTACAAAAACAATTGGCCATACAATCTTATTCTTTACATTGGGATTTCTATATAATAAAAGTTTGTGTATTTAGATTGCTGTGCCACTGTAGCTGGTCTGCATTTGTGATCCTTTGAAGACAGAAACTGCAGGTTTTTTTGCACTTAAAACATTTTGAAAACAACCAAAGATGAAGTAAACATAAGAACTGCTGGGCTTTAACTTATGCCTGCTAGTATGAGGACATTTTTTTTAAAAAGTTATTAAAGAGTTTATTATTAAGAGTAAAAAAGTTTTCTATGAAAACTATCTAAAAAAAAGTACAAAAAAAACCCTTTCTCTTTTATTTCAGAAAAAAAGTTCTATTTTATATGTTATCATAAGTGGGAAAAGGCAAAGAGTTCTGTTTTATGTCCCCATTATATTTGCCTCTTATCTTTTTGTTTTCAATATTCATATATTTTTTAAAAATATATGATCACATGTTATAAAGTTCATTAGAAGTTTATACCATAAAATTAAATTTAAAAAAGGTTTATAATAAAAAAGTTTATATACATATTTATTAAAAATGACTATATGGACAAACATCCATTACCTGTCTGGCTCCACAGGTTCACTGAGGGTTTAAAACTATAACTAGGTTATCAGTGAAGATTGTGTAGATAAGCACAGAGAATATTTTGTTTTCCATCCTAACACCTATGATAAATTGTTGTCCCCATTTTATTGATCTTTGACAAATTGTTTTATAATCACTTAAAATGTGCTCTGAGTAGAAAAAAGTCTGGTTATTATCTAAGAACAATTAACTGATGTCATTTGAGAGACTGACAAAGTTCTTATTACAGTTTTGACTATCAAAAAAGGCCTAGTAATAGCCTCGTTATAATAAAGCTTAATAATCATGGATATAATTTTAATTTTTTATAGGATCATCATTAAGATTTAAAAGGTCACCTATTATATAACATCATCACAAAAATAATACATTTCTATAGATCTATGTTTAATAAAAATCGCTTGAGACAAGAAGCTGTGTCAGGTGGCCAGGGCAAAAAACAAAACAAAACAAAACAAAACAAAAAAAAACAAAGACGCGAACAAAAAAGAAGTAAAATTTTGTTTTATTGTCATAATAAAAAAATTTTAAAAAGAATCAAGAGTTGAGGTGGCTTAGTGAAAAAAAAATATACAGAGATATATACATAGGAAGGTCTGATCTAGGCCCCCAGACAATTAGAATGGAGGAGCTATTATGGATTTCCAGCGCTCCCCATCATCTCCAGCTTCACTCCAATGGCCTGAGGGATAATCCCGTTTCTCACACATACATGGAGGTGAAATTTAGTCTCTTCCTTGTCCACCTGTGAGAAGAAAGGCTGTGAGAGTTCAAGGAAGATCTTGACACTAGGAAGTTTTCAGAACTGACAGCAGACCCAGTTGGAGACAGTAGCAATGCAGGGTGTGGATGTGTTTCCCATTAATGAGCAGAGCACACTTCTAAAGGAGGCTGAGAGAAAACTCAGACCCTGCCCTTTCCTACCTGTGTTTCTCCTTCTCATCACAAAAGCCACCACAGCTCCAATGATGGCCACAGCTCCAAGGACAACCAGAACAGCAATTATCACCATGTAGTAGTTGGTGGATGGAGGAGGCTCTGGGGAGGACAAGGGCAGGAAATGAAGGTGAGGATCATGACCCCAGCTCTCAGCCCTGACCAGCTCAGGGTCTGCAGAAGATTTCAGCTTTCCCTGACTCCAGCTCTCCACCCACACCCTCCTTACCCCATCTCAGGATGAGTGGCTGAGGCAGACCCTCATGGTACACATGGCATGTGTAATTCTGCTCCTTCCCAAGAGGCACCACCACAGATGCCCACTTCTGGTAGGTTCCATCCCCAGAAGGCCTGGTCTCCACAAGCTCCATGTCCTGCGTCAGATCCTCCCCATTCAACTGCCAAGTCAGGGTGATGTCAGCAGGGTAGAAGCCCAGGGCCCAGCACCTCAGGGTGACATCACCTTCAGATCTGGGGTGATGGTTCACATGTGCCTTTGGGGAATCTGTGTGGAAGATTTAAGAAATTCCACAATTAACAAGACCAACTGAAATCTACACAAGACTCAGTTGAATCAATGATGATACTTTACTACCTGTCTGTTTGAACACTTTAACTGTCATTGCACTAGTGACCAACAGGTAGAGTTGGTCCCAGGGTACAGAACTGCACATTTTCCTGGGGACTCAGAAACTAAGAGGGAATCCACACAAGCCAGTGGGTCAACCTGGTCATCCTTATGTGATGCTCTACAGCACAAGATTGGTAGTCAAAGAATGGAAGATGGAATGGAAAATATATGATTTGTATATGTGTTTGAGTTCATAACATAATTAGAAATTAGAATCATATGCTCCTGGAAGGGTACCACCACTGAGAGTCAACCACTGTGGTCATCTTGCTGACAAGCCTAACTGTCAGTCCAAGTGAACACCATCAGGAAGTGTGTAGCAGAAATATGGTGAACCTCTAACACTCAGCCAGAAAAAAATGACTCCCAGCCCCTGCTTCTGGGGTGACAAGGTACAGGTATGTTACACAGAATCCCTAGATAGTGCTGTGGACCCCAGTGCAGCACTCACTAAAACACAGCGGGCTCACAGCTTGTGTGGATCTTCCCTCTCACTCCAGCCCTGGATTGCAGAAGACCTTGTCTCTCAAAAAGTCCAATTCCTGATTCACCAGGGGGAGCACTGTAAGTTGTGGGGGCAGAAGAGCAGAAGGCTTCTGGATGTTTAGTTCTGACAGGAAACAGTCTAAGTTCACAAGAATCTCTCCTTTAATGAGAACCCTGAATTAACTTGTCTAATCATCCAGTCTGTGACTGATACAAGGGCCTGGAGTAACAGTATCACTCCAGTGCAGACAAAAACTCACCAGAAACAAAATAATGCCTTCAAAAAAAAAAAAAAGTAAATAAAAAAGAAAGAGATAGGAAAAAGACAAGAGAGAAAAAAAAGAAAAAAGAAACTCCATAGTTTATATTTCTCCAGGGTACCCCATAAGGGCTCCTGTGAACATTCACCACTGTAGGAATAGAGAGAATTGGGTTGTAGAGGGATGCAAAACCCACAGATTGGGGTGGGGGAGGGGAAGATCTGCGAGTATGTAGTTTTTGGGAAGTTCTAGAAATTCGGAGAACCAGCCTTGTGTAAGGGAGTCCATGTCTCCCATCAGGTAAAGGATACTTCTGCTCCTGAGGTTTAAGGGCTGACACACTCAGCATGATAGGAGTCAGTGTCCACAGACAGGTGTGGACAGAGAATCCGGCCTGGGAGAGGCCTTAGCTGACAACAGCTGCAGACTGAAGGGAGCATCTGTTAGTTATTATGCCAGGAAAATTGTCTCCTTCCCTCCTGAGACAGAGTGGGAACTGTCCAGGGAGAAGGCTGGGCCCTGGGAGAGTCAGTGCAGTCACTGTGATGAGGATCAGGAGACCTAGGGACACTCTCTCCCCTCTGAGACAAGGGCATCCCCCCAGCTGAGGGTTTCTTCTTCCCCAGGACTTAGCCCCAGCCCGAGGGCAGAGGGAGGAGCTGCCCGAGGCCCCTGCACCTGAGCGCAGCAGTGTCTCCTTCCCAAGCTCCAGGAGTCTGCTGAGCGACTCCATGCACTCGCCCTCCAGGTCGACCCTGTATCGCTCTGCAACACCAGCCTGTTCCCACTCGCATCGGGTGAACTGCGCCACCACGTCTGCCGCCTTCCACGTTTTCAAGTCTTCGTTTAGTGCGATGTAATCGTGGCCATCATAAGCGAACTGCATGTACCCGTGGAGGAAGCTCCCGTCTGACCCCATGTCGCAGCCATACAAGTGCTGGAGTGTGTGAGAGCCTGCGGGACCCTCTGGTCAGCCCTGACCACCCACCCCGCCCTCGGATCAGCCCCTCCCACGCTCTAACTCCTCCAAATTTAATGGGAAACACGTTTGAACCTGGGACTTGGGTACCAGGAAGTCTCCCGGCCCAGTGTAGGAACCTGGAGGGGTCGTGACCTCCCACCCGGGTTACTCACCGCCCTCACTATCGTTGTAGGCGCCCATAAAGATCCTCAGGCCCACTCGGAAAGTCTGCTCCAAGTCCTTGGCTCTCTGTGTCTGCCGCTCCCAATACTCTGTCCCCTCCTGCTCCACCCACGGTGCACGTGGCTCGGCCCTCGGATTCTCTGCGTCACTGTCGAAGCACCCGAATTGTGTGTCATCCACGTAGCCGATAGAGGTGAACCTGGTTTCCGCGTGGCCGGGCCGGGACACAGCGGTGAAGAAATACCTCAGCGAGTGTGAACCTGGGGGTGGCACACGGTGAGACCTAGACCTCCTCCCGGGACCCTGGGAGGGTGTGCAGATCAGGAGGGGAGCAGGACGCGGGGCTAGGGATGCAGGTGGAGAAGGGTCAGAGGGTTCAGTGGGTGATGCGGGGACCCGGCTTCCCTGGTGCTGACCCCGCCCCTCTCCTCAGAGGCACTTTCTCACCGGACCCCAGACTCACCCCCACGGGTCTGGGTCGGGGCCAGGGCGCCCGCCAGCAGCAGGAGCAGCACGTGCAGCGCCATCGCCCCCATCTGGGGTCGGAGCATCTGAGTCCCACAGGCTGCTTGGACTTTATAACCAGTGCCAAGTCCGCGCTGGTTGGTTCCCCAGGATCGTGCCACCCGATGATGGTGAATAGTGCCTGGGCATCATCAGTGTCCGGGCAGAAGGACCTGATATAGTAGGAGCAGAAGTGAGACTACGGAGATGGGGAATCCCCAGCCTTGGGCTTCCCCACCCCTGACCTCACCGCCTGGCAACTAATACTTTGCCCGAACCTTGTGCAGTGTAAAGAGTGTTGTTTGTCATGCTGTCTCAGAGTTCTGACCCAGAAGCTATCTGGACACCAGGAGAGACCCTCAGGACAGACTCTCTATGTCCTCTCCTCCACTCTTCCTGTTCCTTCTTCTCATCAGAACTCAGACCCTGGAGTGTCCTAGAAGAAAAGCCACTTCCAGGAATACAGTTGTGACACAAGCTTTTGGAGATGCAGTGGAGAGATGCTTCTCCTTAAAGCAGAGGCGCTGGCCTGCAAGCCCCACACAAACCCCACAGAGACCAGGCTCTGTGTTCACCTGCAGAGGGCAGCTCACACTACCAAACCTGAGTGTAGGACTCTTATCTGTAAAGAGGAGACATTGCTTCTTCCCTCAAGATCTATTTTCTCAGCCCTGTGCTTAGACACAGACTCCTTGTGTTACTTCCTAGATGAAGATCTGAGGCTCCAGGACATTATTTTTTTTCCACAAGGATCTTCATTCTGAATCCCAAGTTTGTCCATGTGGACCTGAGTCATTGTCTCAGCACAGTAGATCCCCTTGTCCACAGGAAAGAGACCCCTGTGTAGACCACAGACAGCAGGACACTGATCCCTGTCTACACTGCTCTTGCCCTGTGTCTGCACTTCCACAGTACAGTTGCTTTAGTGACTCAATCACCATAGGAGAGGAACTGTCACTGTCTATAGCACAGAATAATGATGACAGTGTGGCAGCAGTTATATAATCTGTGACCCTCTCACTCCCTCTCTGACCTTCACTCACACTTACAAGCTGATGAGGTGAGGGACACGAGTGTCACAGCTGTGTGGGACACTGGATCTGATAACCGAGTTGGTCCCAGAGTTCCTCAAAATGATTCTCATGCCAGAGAGTACACACTGGTGATATGAGGTATCAGTCCTGATCAGTAGTGTGGGGAAAAATTAAATTTATACATGTTTTGATTCTGTGGAGTTTGACTTGATCTCTTTCTTCCCTGTTTCCCTGGGAATTAGTTTTATTCTGTTTTTTTTTCTTTATTTTGTTTTGATTGTTTTTGAGACCATTTCTTTGTCTAGCTATGGCTATTTTGGGACTCAGTCTGTAGACCAGGTTAGCCTGCCTTTGTCTCCTGAGTGCTGGGGTTAAGAGTGTGTGCAATCACTCATGACTCAATTTTGTTTATGAGACAGCTTTTTCACAGTCTCTTGCAGGCCCTTAGGATCCATGGAACTCATCTGTTTATCAGGCATTGTCTAGACACCACTCAGGATCCTGGTTCCATTGTGGTCCTGACGATCCTGGCTTAGTATTCCCATGGCCTCCTTCTGTGTATGTCAGGTCACTCTTCTTACACTTGGCCTTGACATTCACATTGGCATGGCAACCTGCACCATCCCAGACCCCTGCAGTGGGCTTTGGACCAATGATGTGCCACTCCAGAGTCTTCACAAACAAGTTGCAGGGTCATCTCCCACACAGATACTTTCAGAGTCTCATTTGTGGAATTCCCCCAGGGGCAGCCATAACCATGGCAATGGTCCAGACTTCTTGGCTCCAGCTTGCAAGGACACCTGAGAGTGAGCCTCACTGATTCCAAGCTTTGCCCTGTGACCCAACCACAGGAATGCTGACCCAGGAGCCTAGGAAGCCATTGGCAGGACAAAGCACTAAGCCTGTTTATTTTCCCTAATAGGGACTCCATATCCCTCTGCCTCAGAGCTGCAGCTTGTCTTCCATATTCAATCCATTTGTACAGAGGACAGCTGTGGCTTACATAGACACTAGAAGGCTGCTGTTTGTTCTGAAAATGTGAGAGACCACCAGGCTGTTGGAGTCCTTGCAGACAGGCCCTGAAATGCAGTGGAGGGGTGACACACATGCCACTGCTGTCCCTTCAGACTGAACAGTGCTGAGCACCGGGACAGCCCTTCTGCACCCTCCCTGTCCAGTGTGCCAGGCTTGTGCAGTCCTGCTCTGGTACATCATTCAGGATTTATGTGGCTTCCACTCTCTCGCCCTGAGCATGGACCTGTGCCTGTGCTCCTGCCTTCACTGCAGTGGGGACTTGCTAAGGTGTCCCAGGTGGCAGGCATGGAGAGACTGGTCTGAGAAAAGGAGAGAGATGTTTCTTCCTGTGGAATGCGATCTTTGTCTCCCATTCTCAGTTCTCCAATGCTATCCTTTTTATTTTATATTTTAATATTTATTTTATGTGTTTGACTAGAGCCCTTGATAATCGAAGAGGTGCCAGACCTTCTAGGACTGGAGTTATGGGTGTTTCTAAGAGAGCATGTGGTTGCTGAGAAACAAACCCAGTCCTCTGCAAGAGCAACAAGTGCTCTAAACCACTGAGCTAACTCTCCAGTTCCTCCCAATTACTCTTTAATTAATTATCTTATCGTGTATAAACAGAGTCAGTATTTTGTTTGAGAAATCAATTCAGAATCACACATCAGTGTGAGGAGATCTTTTTACACTTTACATTCCTCCATGTTCTCTGTTTTGTTAGAAGATCGCTAGATTTTCCTGTCTCCTTCATTTAACTATCATTTTGGCTGAAATACATGCAGGTAAAATTCCAATGTCACGGCCACACACAAGATCTGTTATATTAGGGTTGCAGGCTGGCTCCTTGGTCAGGAGCATGCACTGCTTCTCTAAATTATCCATGTTTGATTCCCAGACCTCTTATCAGGTGGCTCAGAACTGCAACTCCAGTGTCCAGGATCTAACACCTTCACTCATGTGCACATATCCACATACAGACCCATCCTTAAATAGTTAGAAAAATAAACAAGAAAAAAGAACTGTTACGTCTAATGTCTTCAGATATTATGGACACTCATGCTTGCTATGAGTGTCCCTACAAATATACTTTAACGCTTTTATACATAGTTATGTATTTTATTTTCTGCCTGTGAGCATTTTGCCTGCATGTAGGTATGTGCAGCACATGGTGCCTGCTACCTTAGGAAGTCAGAGATGCCATCACATCCCTAGGAGCTGTACAGATCGGTGTTAGCAGCCTTGTGGGTGCTGCTCCAGGGCAAGGGAGGGCCAGGAGTTGAGCTGCAGGAGAGGGTGGTGTGTGCAGGGAGCAGAGTGAGGCACTTGTGCACTTCTGTCTTATTGAGGGTTTCCATTCCTGTGATAAGACCCCTTGACCAAAAACTACTTGAGAAAGAACTGATTTATTTCAGTTTATGCTTCCACATCAGTCTGTCACTGAAGAGATTCAGGGCAGGACCTTGAGAGAGGATTCTAAAGTTGGAACAAAGTAGAGACCATGAGGATAAGTGCTAGCTGGCTTATAGCTCATGGCTTCCTCAGTCTGCTTTCTTATTCAATCCATGACTACCAGCCAAGACCACTTCCAGGAGGGCTGAGCCCTTCCATATTAACCGATGATGATGATGATGATGATGATGATGATGATAATGATGATGATGATACCTCATAGACTTTCTTAAAGGCACCTGGATGGATGTATTTATTCTATTCAGGATCCTCTCCCCAAATATGTCTCAGTTTGTTGACAAATGCAGACAGCACAGCCTACAGGTGCAGCGTCACTCAGTGAGAGCTGAGGGAGGAGAATGAGTATGAGTTCCTCCCTCCGACTTGAGCCAGGGACCTGCCCTGTGGATGGAGGATCCATGGTAAAACAGTTGAAATCAAGGAATGAGAGTACAGTGGGTTTCAACTCCACTCCTGCCCCTCAGTCCTGAGGACCTGTTTCCTCCCCTGCCTGTTGGGTGCTGCTGCTGCTATGATCACCATGTTAGAGTCAGTGGATGAAGGAGGCTCTGGGAAGGACAGAGTCAGGTGAGAGTCATGACCCCAGCTCTCAGCACTGACCAGCTCAGGATCAACAGAAGGCTCCAGCTTTCCCTAACCCCTGCTCTGCACTCACACCCTCCTTACCCCATCTCAGGGTGAGGGGCTGAGACAGCCCCTCATGGTACACATGGCATGTGTAATTCTGCTCCTTCCCAAGAAGCACCACCACAGATGCCCACTTCTGGAAGGTTCCATCCCCTGCAGGCCTGGTCTCCACAAGCTCCATGTCCTGGGTCAGCTCCTCCCCATTCAACTGCCAGGTCAGGGTGATGTCAGCAGGGTAGAAGCCCAGGGCCCAGCACCTCAGGGTGACATCACCTTCAGATCTGGGGTGATGGGTCACATGTGCCTTTGGAGGATCTGTGTGGAAGATTTAAGCAATCCCACAATTAACAAGACCAACTGAAATCTACACAAGACACAGTTAAATCAATGATGACACTGAACTATGTGTCTGTTAGAACGCTTCAACTGTCATTGCACTTTTGACCAGTAGGTGGCACTGGTCCCCTCAGCACAGAACTGAACATGTTCCTGGGGGCTCAGAAGCTAAGAGGGAATTCACATGAGCCAGTGTGTCAACATGGCTGTCTTTATGTGATGTTCTATAGCATGAGACAGGTAGTTAGTGAATGGAAGATAGAATGAAAAATAAGTAATTCAATATGTGTTTGAGTTCATATCTAAATTAGAAATTAGAGCCATTTGTCACTGGCAGGGTGCCACTGAGACTCAACCACTGTGGTCATGTTTCTGACCAGCATAAATGTCAGTCCAAGTGAACAGCCATCACAAAGTATGTAGCAGAAATGTGGTGAGCCTCTGACACTCAGCCAGAGAAAATGACTTCCAGCCTCTGCCTCTGGGGTGACAAGGTACAGGAATGTTGCACAGGATCCCTGGAGTGTGATGTGGACTCCAGTGCAGCACTCACTAAAACACAGTGGGGTCACAGGTGTGTGGATCTTCCCTCTCACACCAGGACTGGATTGCTGAAGACCCTGTCTCTCAGAAAGTCCAATTCCTGATTCACTAGGGGGACCACTGTAACTTGTGGGGGAAGAAGAAGAGCAGGAGGCTTCTGGATATTTAGTCCTGATTGGAAACAGTCTTAGTTCACAAGAATCTCTCCTTTAGTGGAAACCCTGAATTAACTTGTCTAAACATCTAGTCTGTGGAAACTGATACAAATGATAATATAAGGGCATGGAGAAACAGTATCACTCCAGTACAGACAAAAACTGACCAGAAGCAAAATAATGCCAAAACAAACAAAACAAAAAATAAAGAAAAAAAGTAAGAAATAAGAAATAGAAAAAGGCCGGGCGGTGGTGCTGCACACCTTTAATCCCAGCACTTGAGAGGCAGAGACAGGCGGATTTCTGAGTTCGAGGCCAGCCTGGTCTACAGAGTGAGTTCCAGGACAGCCAGAACTACACAGAGAAACCCTGTCTCAAAAAACAAAAAAATAAAATAAATAAATAAATAAATAAATAAATAAATAAATAAATAAATATTAAAAAAAAGAATTTCTTGCCAGGCGGTGGTGGCACAAGCCTTTAATCCCAGCACTTGGGAAGCAGAGGCAGGTGGATTACTGAGTTCAAGGCCAGTCTGGTCTATAGAGTGAGTTCCAGGACAGCCAGGGCTACACAGAGAAACCCTGTCTCAAAAAACAAACAAAAGAAGAAGAAGAAGAAGAAGAAGAAGAAGAAGAAGAAGAAGAAGAA